AAACTTGCATTCAAAAAGTAAAAACTTGCATTCAAAAAGTATTTTTGGGTATTAAAACAAATAGTTTTCACGAGAAAGTCGATTTTAAAGCTTTAGAAGATATTTTAAAAGTGTTTGAATTGGCTGTTAAGTAGCATAGTAAGGCAAATTCAATGATTCTGACCAGTGGCGTTGACTTTCGTTTTGTTCAAAATACTGAGCTAACGATTAATTTGAGTGTAGTGATGCTAGATCTAGATTAAAGGAAAATAAGCAACTTTTTTTTTTCGTCATTAAAAAATAATCTTTTACAATGTTTTTACAACATAAAAAATGTAACATTAAAGATTCGACCGGAGCTATCAGAAGACATGGTCTTATCATCCAGCCCCGTTAATATAACTAAAAAATTCAACCGACAAAAACGAAAAAGGAAAAAGGAAACTAAAGCAAGAACTGATTTAAAAATCAATTTGCTATTTACAGAAAAAAAGAAAAAAAAATTAATTATTTCTTCTCATTACTATTATTTTTTTAATTCTCTATCTAATTCTACTTTTATTTTTAATAAACACGCACGCGCACACATACACAAATATGCACACGTACACACAAATATGTCTGTTCATAAATATATACATACAAAATCAAATAAATCTGTTTTATATTTCATCTAGAAATATAAAACAGATGTAAGATATAATAAATATTGCATTTACAAATTGCGTTATTATTGTAAAATAAGATAATCTTAAACAAGTTACAATACAATATAATTAAGATTCTAATAATAGGATAGTAATTGCTTTGAATCAAAATCAAATAAGTGTTGTTTTGTTGCACGTTTAAAATGTTGAAATGAATTTAAAGTTTTTATATTACTTTTTAAAAGCAAGTTCCATAACCATGGTCCTCGGCAAGATATCGAAAAATCAGCTTGTTTTGACAACGTTTTTGGTATAATAAAATTATTTGTTGAGTATTTAGTTTCGTATTTGTGGTTTAAAGAAAAAAAGTAATTTTGGAAAATGCTTGGTAGCATATCATTTTTAAACTTAAAAATAAAAAAAAGTATATTAAGAATATTTATTTCATAGACATTAGGCACTCCAATTTCTCTTAGTAGTGGTCTGGCACTAGCGTATTTATTTGCATTTAACATCAAGCGACTTGCTCGTTTTTGTATTTTGTAGATCATATTTAACTTTGAAGGATAAGTACTTGCCCAGATAATGCTGCAGTAGCTGATGTAGCTATGAATAAATGCAAAATAAATATTTTTTAAACAATTTGTGTTCAGGAGATGTTTTGTTTTGTATATAATACCAATAATTTTAGATATTTTATTTTCTATTACTTTGATATGATTACTCCAGCTAATATGTTCATTAAGTATTACGCCTAAAAATTTGATTGAGTATTCTCGTTTAAGTTTAGTTTTATCAATTAGTAAATCAGGTAGTTTTAAAGGGAGGGTTTCAGATTTTGAGAATTTTGTAAAAAGAATATATTTACTTTTTTCGACATTTAAAGAGAGTTTGTTAGCCTTAAACCATTCGTTCAGGTTTTCAAGTTCTTGATTAACAGTGTTAAATAATAAGCTAATGTTTGTGTGGCTAAAGAATACTTGCGTATCATCAGCAAAAAGGACAAAATTAAGTATGTCAGAACATAAGTAGATATCGTTAATATAAACAAGGAATAAAAATGGACCGAGAATTGATCCTTGTGGGACCCCACACGTAATGTTTTCAAGTCGAGTTACAGTGTTGTTATATGATAAAGCTTGTTTCCGATTATTAAGGTAAGAGCGAAACCATTTTAAATTGTTATATCTTATTCCATAATTATACAGTTTATAAAGAAGAACTTCGTGGTCAACATTGTCAAACGCTTTTGAGAGATCCAGAAATACCCCAAGAGTGTATTTATTGTTGTTAAACCCTTTTAAAATTTCATTGACAAGTTTGGATACAACGTGTTCTGTTGAATGGTGTTTTTGAAAGCCATATTGGTTATTATTTAGCAGGTGGTGGTTTACTAGATAATTGATTAGCCTATTGTGCATTATTAGCTCTAATATTTTTGAAATGTATGGAAAAATAGAAATAGGCCTTTAGTTAGACGCAATAGAATCATCTTCGCTTTTAAATATAGGGGCAACCTTTGCTAACTTTAGCTGGTCAGGGAACACCCTATTTTTTAAAGACATACTACAGATATGCAGAAGGGGATATTCTATAATATCGTAGACATTTTTTACAACTTTTACGCTAATGTCATCTAGTCCTGGACTTTTGTTTTGTTGTAAAGTATTAAAAGCATTTTTAAGCTCATCCGGAGTTATTTCAAGCTCGTTCATGACTGAGCCTTCTTTTCTTAGATACGATTTATAACAATTTTTTCCAGGAGTTATTTTATTAGCTAATTTTTCCCCAATTTTTATAAAATAGTTATTAAATTTCTCTGCAATATCTATTACCTTATTGGCTACTGTATCATTTTCATCGGTTTTTAAGTATTGCGGGAACACTTTGGTAGCATCTTTTTTTTTCCCTACTACCTCTTTTATTACGCCCCATGTTTTTTTGGTGTTACCGCAATAATTTTCTAATAAATTGCAATAATAGTTTTTTTTGAATGTTTTTTTTAATTTTTCAAATAGATTTTTGTATTGTTTATATATTTTTTCGTTTTTTTTTTTTTTAAATTTTTCATAAAGTTTTTTTTTTTTTTTTTTTTTTTAAGATTTAATAAGCCCTTTTGTCATCCAAGGACTTTTAAGGTTTTAGAGTTTAGTTAATTGTTCAAGCTTCGGAAACGCTTTTTCGTACAAACTTGTAAAAGTGTCTAAAAATATCGTAAGCTGTGTTAGTGTCTTTGCAATTAACAACCTGATCCCAGTTTTCCATTGATAAGTTGCTTCGGAACTTTGTTATATTTTTTTCATTTATTTGCCTTTTTGTTATAATCATTGTTTTGTTTTCATTTTTGTTGTTGAAAAAGTTAAGTAGAAGAAATATCGGAAAATAGTCACTTATGTCAAATTTTATTATTCCGCTTTGAATGTTACATTTTATGGTATTATTTGTAAATGTGTTATCAATTAGGGTAACGGTTCGGAGAGTTACTCGAGTTGGCTTATTTATTAAGGGTACTACGCCGTGCTGTAAGAGATAATTTAAAAAGCGTTTGACATTGTTATTAGTTTTTATTTTTAAAAGATCTAAGTTAGTATCTCCCATTATGTATAAGTGCTTATTTTAAGCCAGTTCTAGGTACTGAATTATATGTTTTATAAAAGATTTTATATTGCCATCTGATGGTCTATATAAGCCATTTATATACGCGTTTGCTTTACTTTGGTTTATTAATTTAACCGTGAAAAGTTCACAGCTTGCGTTCAGTATGCTGAGGCTTTCTACTTTTTTAAAGTGTATTGTATCATGTATGTAGAAACATATTCCTCCGCCAGTACCTCTACTACGAGTTTGATGGAGAGCCTTATATCCTTGTAATTGAAAATTTGAGTTTATGGTATTTTCGTCTTTGCACCATTGCACATTTCTAAAAGGCATATTACCGTAAACTCTTGACTTATGTCTTTTAGCATTTCTTTAAAGTTTTCAAAGTTTTTGCTCATGCTGCGTATATTTAATGTCAGCGCTGAATAATTATTTTGTGACTCATTTATAAAACAAGATAATTCTTCGATACCATAGTAATTAGACTTGAATGAGTTGTTTTCAAAAAAATTTTTGTCCGGGTCGTTGTTATTGTTCAGAAGAGTGTTTTCTTTATCAAAAATTTCAAAATACTTTGTTTCCGCCATTGTCATAATTAAAAATTTAACTGTTTAAAAAACAAAAACAAAAAAAATTAAATATAAGAAGATATATAAATATATGTTCATATACGTGTAAGATATAAATATAAGAAATAAGAGTTTTTTTTTTTTTTGATATTATTTAATTTAATAATTTTATCGTACCTTAAATAAAGGAGAATAAAGCTGTTTGAAGCAAGTGAAATTCGAACAGCAAATTTAAACAAGATTGATGGTGCTCTCAAAACAATTCACTCCACGTCAACATCCAGTGAAACACTCCACGTCAACATCCAGCGAAACATCCACGTCAACATCGAGCGAAAGAAAGGTTTTTGTTGCTGTTTTTTTTTTCAACTTTTGATATATTAAATGGATTAATATTTTTATTAAAATATTATTTTTCGGAAAATTAAATTACTGAGTTAATGCTTATCGAGTTATTACTGCTTAAATATTTTAACACTGAAAAGTAATATAAATAAAAAACGAAAAAAAAAAAAAAAAATCTGTTAATTCTTTTAATAAAGTTTTCTAACGATTTGGCTAAACTTTTAAAATATTTTTATAAATACCGCACAATACCGGTTTATACTAATATTTAACTATTTTGAATACGGAAAACCGATGTTATAACTTTACGGTATTTTGGAAACAAATAAGTATACTATTCAACCATACGGTATTTTGGAAAAAAATTAAGTATATTATTTAACCATATGATCACTGTTTTTAACTTATTACCTTTTAACGTTTCATTTCAAAAAAAGATTCTTGACCGGCGTAAAAAGTTGGTAATCTCGCCGGTCAAGAATCTTTTTTCACTTTCTGAGAGTTCATTTTCAAAAAAAGAAAAAAAAATTATTACACCTCCGAAAAGTTAATAAGTTAAAAAAAAAAAAATTACATTTATAAAAATTTTATTCGATAATCAAAAAAAAAAGAATAAACTATTTCATAATATCATCTAATTCATTCTACCCTGTTTTACTGACTAGTATATTTATCAGTGTTAAAAAGAGTCTACAATCGTCCATTAATTACACGTTTACAAATTGCTGCTTATTGTATTAACGCGCGCGCGTTACACACAAAGATAACACACACAGTATGTGTAAATTCATTTATGTTTCTTTTTGTTTGTGTAACACACAAAAAAAACTTTCGTTTGTAATATCAATAAAAGTAAAGATTAAATTTTTAAAATATATTTTTTACACAATAGTTTGTAGCTAGTTATGTTAAACATTTCAGAACTTAACTAGTTTGTGGTTTTCTATGCAGAGCAACTTTTCTGATGGTTGAAAGATTCATGCAAAAAGACACATGATTTTTGTCTTTTTGAAAAAGCTAGAATTTTCGATATTAAATTTTTCGGAGCAGTAGGACTCTTAACTCCCTAAATAGTGTATTTAACTACGTTCTTTTGAGTTAAGCGTTGGATTCAATACTCGAAGAAATGTTTTTCAAAGATTTTAAGAACACGTTACAATAAGCTGTCAATGAATTGGAACGTTTCGCAATAGGACTTTCCAGAACAACATTTAGTGACTGTTGTAGATCTTTTAAGTCCAATTGGGCTTTTACCTATAAAAACAAGTGTTATCTTAAAAATACTTTAATAACTAAATATTTAGAATGATAAAAAACCAAATAAAATCACGCTAGAAACATATAGAATGGCATTTCGCTAATTTGATAATTTTGTAATATGCGGTATTAGTATTGTGGTACAGCGTAAAAAAAGCACTACTACTACTAGAAATATATTCATAGTGCACTATAGTTCTAGTATTAGACTACAGTGCCCTTCTACTACTAGTAGACTATAGTGCCCTCTTATTAGTAGTAGACTGTAGTGCCCTCCTACTAGTAGCAGACTATAGTGCCATTTTACTAGTAGTTAAATAGTAGCTAGAGTATAGTAAATGTAGTAGACCGAGGACCGGGGGTAGTTACCTGTTTTCACTTTTTGAGCTCTGAAGCACTAACAGCAAATATTTCTGTAAATATTAAAGCGCAGCCTTGAAGAGTATGAATTTAGGTAACATTTTTAACTTGTATTCATTATGAAAAAATTTTTCAGGACTCTTCTAAAGCCTTAAAAAAAAAAAAAGTTTGCCAACGTACCCCACCCGGGTAGGTAAGTGCAAAATTTATAGAAGTTTTTATAATTTATTTCAGCAACATTTTTAAGCAAAAATGTTAAGGTGGCACAAAACAAAAACAAAAAAAGTTTTTTGAAAAAAATTAATTTTAGGATTTTTTGGTATTTGGATTCTCATGTAATAACATATAATAAAAAAGATTATTCTCAAAAATAATATAAAAGTTGAAAAAATTTCCCTAACAATACCTTAGTAACCACCAAACATTTGAGTTTTTATGATTTAAAAGAAGACGAGTCAAAAGTAAATGAAATTTTCGAGCTGATAAATCAAGAGAATGTAATACCAAAATTTGTCAGACGGCTGAGATCTAAAACTAATAAACCAAGTCCAATTCTTGTTGAATTAGCTGAGGATATTCTTCGCAACACAATATTAGCATCAGCTAAAAAAATGAGAAGTAATGTTGCACATAAAAATATTTATCTTAATCCAGATTTGACTGAAGCTCAGAGACTCCAAGACTTTGACCTCAGAACTGAAATAAATAAAATGAATCAAGCAAGAAAAGACAATGACCCTTTTGGTATGGCATCCGTGGTAATAAGATCATCAAATTCAAAAAGAAATCAGATCAATAAATTCTACATAATTCAGTGTCAGATTGCAATGAAATTAAAAAGCTGCCATGTTTATAGCTGAATGCTACCTCTCTCGATAACAAGTTAAATGAGTTCAAAGTGGTAATTGAACAATACAAACCAAATATAATTTCTGTGACTGAGACATGGTTTAAAAGTGATTCAGTTGTAAACATTGAAGGTTACCATCTGTATAGAAAAGACAGATCAGATGGACGAAAAGATGGTGATGTTTGTTTATATATAGACAACTCATTAGACTCCTGTAAACTAAATGATGCTGTTCTAAATTTCCTATAAATTATAACAAGTGTGGGCAGTTGTTTATTTTGATAATGACAAGTATTTACTAGGATGTATCTACAGGCCAAATAATTTTTTGGATATGGCAGAATTTAATGTGGTTTTTTGCCTGGCACGCAAATATATAGACAAAAATAAGTTCAAAGACTTATCATGGGCGACTTCAATTATTCATCAATCAAATGGCTGTGCTGATGCAATTTCAAAAGAGAATGGAATTGAATATAAACTTACAGATATTTTAAATGAGAATTTTCTTTATCAGCATATTAACATACCAACTTTCCAGCTGTCAGATGAACAACTAGGGAATATCTTTAATCTTTTACAACTCAGTCAGCAAGTGTTGATGAAAAAAGATTTAATCTTTACAACTCAGTCAGCAAGTGTTGATGAAATAGATTCAAAGTTTGTTTTGGGAAACATAACCAGAGGCCATCTAATAATATGTTTCAGTTTCATCTTGTCTGATAAAGCAATCTGTGGCAATAAAAGTAAACAAAGATTTATGTTTGCTAATTCCAATTTTGAACTAATATCTGATCTAATTTCAAATGTTGACTGGATACAATGTTTAAAACAAAAACTTTGTATCAAATTTGTAAAAAAATTGATAGTTTACATTCAGCTATTTTAAAGAATTTTGCATCAGCCTCTGCAATTCCACTTACATATATTTTTAAAGAGTTGTTTGAAACCAGCAAACTGCCAGTACAATTTAGATCAGCAAATATCAGTCCTTTGTATCATAAACGATTTGCCTGGAACTCTAAAAAATCCAATCATTCTGTATGCAGATGACACAAAAATTTTAAATGAAATGCTTTCCAGTGCATCAAAATTTCTTTGTAATCAGATCTTGATTTGGCTTTTAAGTGGACTCAAGACTGGCTTGTGAAATTTAATATTTCGAAATATGCGGACATGCACTTTGGCCTGAATAACAAGAAATCACCACTTTAATCAATGAACAAAAGTTAAACATAACAGAATCTGAAAGTGATTTTAGAGTAATCTTTTCGAGCAATCTGAAATGGAATAATCAAGTAATAAAATGCGCAGGCAAAGCCAACCAAATGTTGGGTCGGATTAGAAAATGTTTAGCTTAATTCCTGCTCATCCAGCAATTTTTACTGGATGAGCAGCAATTAAAAGAATTGGCTGTCATAGTGTGTTAATACAACATTCTCTGGCTCACACCAGTTACAGCAATTACTAATACTAATACTAAAATAACTCTAAACCACTTTTTTTTCCAATGACAGACTTTTCTTAAAATCAGTAGAAATTTAATAAAAATGAAATCAATAGAAATAGCACTTTGATCTTATCTTGTCAAAGTTAAATGTAATGAGTTTTTAGCAGTGTCATTTTAAAACTTGTTTTATCTGTATTGCATTTTTTTAAATTTACACTTTTAAGATCAACAAGATTATTAGCAGATGTATATTGAGCCTGCTGCAAAGGTGAAATTCATGGTAAAACCATAGAGGCGTTTGGTGGTGACATAAACATCTTTTGACTGAGATCACAATAAAAAAATGGTAAAAAGTTCTGTATTTAAAACAAAGGGAGGTCCGAAAAGATGTAAAAGTGGATAACATCAAAGCTGAAATTCTTTTGAAAGCAATTTTTATTGATAAAGACCAGCCGCTACGTCTTGAGTTGAATATTTTGTAATGAAGAATTCAATTTTGCAGTGCTTACAGTAAAATTTATTCAAGATTGTGTAGAACGTGAGATAAGCTTTGAGAAGCTACTTCAAATAAAGAGTTCTTGTAAAAAACCATTAAAAAAGAAGAATCGTGGATTCAAGGTGCTAGCTACGACGACTGCTTTCTTGTTATTGAATGGTTCTAATAATTTAAACTTTGATACATTTTGAAAAGTAGATTTCAAAATTATTTTTTATAATATTTCCTTGAGATATTTGTCTTCAGCTGAAAATTTATATGTATATAAATATTTATTGTACATTTGTGGCAGTGACGGATCTAGCATTTTTTGGTGTTTGAGATATGGCAAATAATGATGCTATTTAAAAAGTTGCAATGATTGGAATCTAAGAACAAATAAACCCTAGAATTTTATTGCCACTGCCCCAAATGTGAAAGCAACAAGTTAATAAAATAATTTTTTTGCTATTCTTAACTAAATTTATATTCATCAATAAATTTTAAGTATTGTTTTACAATCTCCAAGCATTCAAAAGTTATGACTATATAAAATTTGTAACCCCCTCAAATTGAGGGGGTTAAAATTTAAACTTTATATGGTCATTTATGAACCTTGAGAGACCTAGTGTCAGGTCAGGAGTATGGTCTTCATAATCATCCTGCTACTGGTAACATGTAACCCAGTGCAACCTGTTCCATGTTCTGCTGCCTTGCAGGATTTGCTTTCTAAGCAAAGGCTGGAAGAAGTGTTCTTCCTGTCATCAGTACTATCTTATACCAGTCATGCCTATAGTAATTTTTTTTTTTTTTTTTTTTTTTTTTCATATAGTTGGAGGTGCCTTAGTTACTGTATTAGCTCACCTGTAATCTACTTTATATGTATGTTTGTGTTCTGTCTGAAACTCTGGCGCGGTGTTCGCTCGCCCGTAAGTTACTTTATGTTCTTTATGTATGTCTGTGTTCTGTCTGAACTTCTGGCGCGGTGTTTGCTCACCCGTAAGTTACTTTATGTTTATGTTTTTTATGTTTTTTTATGTATGTTTGTGTTCTGTCTGAACCTCTGGTGTGGTGTTCGCTCACCCGTAAGTTGATTTATCTTTGTTTGTGTTCTGTTTATACTCTAATGCAGTGTGAGCTCAGTAACTAACTACTTACTCCAACTACAAAACCTACACTCACCTTAGACTCCTGTACTTTGTTAGATGCAGTGTTTTTCCTAATGCACTTCCAAAATGTCATGCCTGGTTTTCTCAAAGTACTGTTGCGGGAAGTAACTCCTTTTAACTACTCCAGGTCAGGTCAGGATAATCGAGATCAATCTTGCTACTGGTATCACGTAACCCAGTACCACCTGCCACAAGCCCTGCTGCCTTGCAGCTCTTCTTAGGCAAAGGCTAGGAGAAATAAACTCCGACTAAAAATTCTCCTGCCTTGGGGCTCTTGGTTGAGTAAAGGCTAGAGATGGTGTCTCAATAAAAATACTCATCTTGGGCAGATGTTAACTGCATCCAGCTAAACATCCCCTGCCTTGGGGCTCTTGGTTGAGTAAAGGCTAAAGATGGTGTCTAGATAAAAATACTCATCTTGGGCAGATGTTAACTGCATCCAGCTACTGTCTTGTAGAAGGCCTCCTAGGCAAAGACTTTAGGGGTAAGCAGAAAAATTCTGCTAACCAGCCTCGAACCCCTTCTTCATCTATTAGGCTGGCGTAGATGTAACTTGTGTTACATTGTTTCCTGCCTAGGATGAGGAATGCTGGATCTCCTTGACTCTACTCATAGAATTTTGCTTATGCCTCCTTGATAATGGCCATGCAACTCTTCCTGTTATCTCCATATGAGGGTACAGCTCTAAAACTC